TGTTTTACCTGTTGCAACAATTTAGAAAAACCGTTAGTTAAAAAGACTACTGGATCATCACTTACCTCATCTGGATCAGAAACAGCTCCAGCGTCTTCTACAGTGAATGCTACAGTTTTTCCTTTTGTTTCAGGTCCGCCTAAGATTTCCATCTCATAAGTTTGTAGGCTTCCCATAAATTGTTGTACCGTTTTCTTTTCCCATCCATCGTGCTCCTGAATGGCTGTAACTTTCATTCGAAACTTTGGAGGGAGTGAGCGAAGAATCTTTTTGACGAGTCGTTCTTGAGTGATTGGTTCGCCTAGAATGCTTGCCCTATTGGCTAGTTCTTGTACCCGAGCATGAAAATCCACTATGGTTTCATCATCTTTCATCTTTAGATCTTCAAAGTCAGTTTGAACCATTTGGAGTTTGGATTGTTTAACTGATGCAGTTCCTTCATAGGTAGTTTCTAGGGCATCCCAAGCGTCTTTGGCCGAATCACAACCTGCAACAATGGTAAACTGACTTTCATTCATTAAAGAAAATATAGTATCTAACGCTTTATGGTTGAAGCTTGCGGTAGTCATCTCAGTCTCTGTCCATTCCGCTTCTGGTTTGAGGACTGGAGGATCTCCTGTATTGTCTCCATCTTTGGTGGGATGAGACCAACCAGTGAGAACAGCCCTCCAGACCCTCTCCCCTTGAGCTCGTAGATGCATTTTGGTGCGGGCCTTCCAGTATGCATAGTTGTCACCTGTTAGCTCAGGAGGTGCTCGATGTCGTTCCATTCTGTAAGACTCAATGCACAGTAAGCAACAAGTAAACCAGATAAACAAAAAAAGAGACAGATGCTGAGATCTTGAGTTCAAAAAACACGTGATAGCCAGATCGGTTAGACTAGTAATTTAAGTCCCCGTGCTCTGATACCAATTGAAAAAGCACGTGAGTCTTGAATCCAAGATATAACCTTTAAAACCTTTAATTTCAATTATAAAGCTGGACTAGAAGACAACATATTCCAGATATAATAAAGAACATGAAATAAATAGCAGTAAAAGAAAGCATGCACCAGGATATGTTCACGCAGTTCGGAGCCTCACTCCTACGTCTGCGGGGCCACTCACATCAACCCAAATCCACTATGATGAAAAACGGAGTACAAGAGGATAGTTAATTACACTCTAAAGTATAACCTATAACTACTCCAGAACCTACTCCAGTGGATCCGATGTGCAGGCGTTCTTCATTTCTTCATGATCTGATTGCAAGATCTTCTTCACACACAACAATACAGATTATCTTTGGTATAGATGCACCAAGACTTTCAGCCTAAGACATTGTGTAAGAGTGCTCGATTTGAATGCTAATTAAGGTAGCATTATATAGGCTGTAAAAGCTGTTTTGATCCTCAAAACATGCACTCTTCCATTCCTAGAATTCGGCTGCTCCATTAGATGTAGATCTCCCTATTTATAGGGTCTTGAATAAGTATTTTTGAATAAGCTTGATATCTCCTGGAAAACTTCCGTGCGCTGATCCAGTCAACTGCTCCAGACGTCGTGACTAATCCAGGACTACTTTGATAACTAATCTAAGCCAATAAAACAGAGGTTTAAATGTGCAATATATTTACACTTACACTTTTCTTCATTGTCTCATATTAGAAAATAAATGTGTGTTTGTCCCAAGTAGACTCATCACTGACAATATCCTGGCTGTGTACAAAATAAATAATTTCCTTAACTGCATGTTTAGTTGGTGGAGTGAATTTTGAAGGAATAGGAATACTATTCCATAGGGAATGGAATGGGTAAAGAATATAATAGAAATTGTATTCTAGTGTTTGGTTCGGTGAATGAATAGATTTTAGGAATGTTATTTCAGTGTTTAGTTGGTTTAAGGAATAGAAATAGAATATATGTGGAAAAGACATAACTACCCTCGTACAAAATATTTAATATTATTGTTATTGTTATTGTTATTGTTATTGTTATTGTTATTGTTATTATCGTTGTTATTATTATTATTATTATTATTATTATTATTATTATTATTATTATTATTATTATTATTATTATTATTATTATTATTATTATTTTATTTTTATTATTACTATTACTATTACTATTACTATTACTTATTACTATTACTATTACTATTACTATTACTATTACTATTACTATTACTATTACTATTACTATTACTATTACTATTACTATTACTATTACTATTACTATTACTATTACTATTACTATTACTATTACTATTACTATTACTATTACTATTACTATTACTATTACTATTACTATTACTATTACTATTACTATTACTATTACTATTACTATTACTATTACTATTACTATTACTATTACTATTACTTTATTTACTATTACTATTACTATTACTATTACTATTACTATTACTATTACTATTACTATTACTATTACTATTACTATTACTATTACTATTACTATTACTATTACTATTACTATTACTATTACTATTACTATTACTATTACTATTACTATTACTATTACTATTACTATTACTATTACTATTACTATTACTATTACTATTACTATTACTATTACTATTACTATTACTATTACTATACTATTACTATTATTTACTATTACTATTATTACTATTACTTTTATTACTATTACTATATTACTATTACTATTACTTATTACTATTACTATTACTATTACTATTACTATTACTATTACTATTACTATTACTATTACTATTACTATTACTATTACTATTACTATTACTATTACTATTACTATTACTATTACTATTACTATTACTATTACTATTACTATTACTATTACTATTACTATTACTATTACTATTACTATTACTATTACTATTACTATTACTATTACTATTACTATTACTATTACTATTACTATTACTATTACTATTACTATTACTATTACTATTACTATTACTATTACTATTACTATTACTATTACTATTACTATTTTTACTATTACTATTACTATTACTATTACTATTACTATTACTATTACTATTACTATTACTATTACTATTACTATTACTATTACTATTACTATTACTATTACTATTACTATTACTATTACTATTACTATTACTATTACTATTACTATTACTATTACTATTACTATTACTATTACTATTACTATTACTATTACTATTACTGCTACTGCTACTGCTACTACTACTGCTACTACTACTACTACTGCTACTGCTACTACTACTGCTACTACTACTGCTACTACTACTGCTACTACTACTGCTACTACTACTGCTACTACTACTGCTACTACTACTGCTAGTACTACTGCTATTACTAGTGCTATTACTATTGCTATTACTATTCCTATTACTATTCCTATTACTATTCCTATTACTATTCCTATTACTATTCCTATTACTATTCCTATTACTATTCCTATTACTATTGCTATTACTATTGCTATTACTATTGCTATTACTATTGCTATTACTATTGCTATTACTATTGTTATTACTATTGTTATTCTTATTCTTATTATTATTGTTATTATTATTATTATTATTATTATTATTATTATTATTATTATTATTATTATTATTATTATTATTATTATTATTATTATTATTATTATTATTATTATTATTATTATTATTATTATTTTATTATTATTATTATTATTATTATTATTATTATTATTATTATTATTATTATTATTATTATTATTATTATTATTATTATTATTATTATTATTATTATTATTATTATTATTTATTATTATTATTATTATTATTATTATTATTATTTTTTTTTTTTTTATTATTATTATTATTATTATTATTATTATTATTATTATTATTATTATTATTTTATTATTATTATTATTATTATTATTATTATTATTATTATTATTATTATTATTATTATTATTATTATTTATTATTATTATTATTATTATTATTATTATTATTATTATTATTATTATTATTATTATTATTATTATTATTATTATTATTATTATTATACAGACATTGTCCAGTCGCATCATAAACATCAAGATCTAAACCTAGATCAGAGTATAAAACGTTGCAAACTCTTCCGATCATCTTCCTCGCCTCTTTGACGCAAAGGTTTCACGCTTTCTAACTCAGCGATTAAGAGGCTACAGGCCGGCGATGATCATCCCCGACCCTTTAGAATCGTCGCCAGGCCCCATCAAAGCGATCGCCACCGTCAGTTTGGTGGACGGCAGCCATTTGCGAAGTCTAGCGTCGCGAATCAGTCTGCGTCTTGTTGGAGGATTTTTCGGCGACTAAGCCATTGCATGGACGATCGGAGACCATCAACGGTGTTGGGGAAGCGTCGAGACCTGGCCCCGCTGATTAGACTGTCGTTCGGAGAGTCCCGGAATTCTTGGATTCTGTTAAGCAGCGGCTGAGACCGTAGTCTCCATTCGCGAAGCGAAGCATGAGCTTCCGCTACCAACGACATCTATAGATTGAGACAGAATGACCTAAAACACCAGGAAGTCGCAGGTGGCCGACCGATGATCGGACCATCACAGGCTGAGTCCATCTCCAACCATTGCACCAAATTCTGCACCAAATTTTACACCAAAAAGGAATATTCCCAACATATTCTTACACCAAATTTTTTCCATCTCCAACCCATTACACCAAATTCTGCACCAAATTTTATTCCTACACCCCTCATAAAGTTTATATTTATACTTTTATTCTTTTAACAAAACTAATAGTTGTAATTTAATAAATTAGACTTTAATTATATTTTATGTAATTTTATTTTTAATTAAATTATATTTAATATTAGTTTTGTTTTAATCGTCTTCTTGATAAGATCTTTGAAATGATATAATTTTATTTTAATAATATACAATTTATGTTTAATATTTAACGAAATATGTAAATATATAAAAATAAAAAAGGATACAATATAATTATAATGTAAATATTATTTTATTCCACAATAATAAATCATAGAACATCCGCTACATTTAATTATCAGAATTACCATAATGTTCCCACATATGCTCAATCAATGCATCACGAAGCGCATAATGCGCTTCTTTATTTTTGATTTGCCTATGTCGAGCAAGAAACTCTTCAAAGATAATTCTTTCATCTCTACATATATCAACCTCAGGAGCCGGTGCTTCTCTCCAACTTTGTATATCGACTTGCTCATCACGTTCATCTTCAATTATCATATTATGCATTATGATGCATGATGTCATTATATCATGCAATACATGTTTATCCCAAAGACGTACTGGTCCCTTGACTATTGCAAATCTTGATTGAAGGACCCCAAATGCACGTTCTACATCCTTTCTACATGCTTCTTGCATCATTGCAAATAACTTTTTCTTTGGTCCTAGGGGCTGATGAATAGTTGGTACCAGGGTTGACCATTTCGGATATATCCCATCAGCTAAATAATATCCTGTATCGTACACTTTCCCTTGAATAACATAATGAGCAGGAGGTGCCGTACCATTTGCAATGTTTGCAAACAAATGTGATGCCTCCAACACATTAATATCATTATTCGACCCCGGCAAACCAAAATGTGCATGCCAAATCCACAAATCATAATCAGCTACGGCCTCGAGAACAATAGTTGGTTCTCGACTACGCCCAGCGTATTGTCCGGCCCAAGCTGTTGGACAGTTTTTCCAAGTCCAGTGCATGCAGTCTAAACTCCCAAGCATCCCTGGAAAGCCACGCCTCTCACCAATTTCAAGAAACCTTGCAACATCATTAGCATCTGGCACTCTTAGATAGCGTTATCCAAAGACATCTACGACCGCTCTACAAAATCTCTTCAAACTTTCAATTGCTGTTGATTCCCCAATTTGGATGTATTCATCGGTTGCATCTGCTGCTACTCCATAAGCCAAAATTCGAAATGCTGCTGTTACTTTTTGTAAAGTAGACAAGCCTAGTCTACCGATTGTATCTCTCTGTTGCACAAAGTAATTGTCGTGCTCTGCAACAACATTGGCAATTCGTAAGAACAAATTTTGACTCATTCAAAATCGTCTACGAAATATTGCCTCATTATTTTTGGATTTTCTGAAAAATAATCAGCATGTAATCTTCGATCACCATCTTCACGGTCACGGTGAATCACTCTATGCCCGAAAATTGAACCGCCATGACTTGGGTTTATGGCTTGAGTAGACATAATCTCCAAACAGTAAGCCATGGCAGCATTGTTGTTAGCATACGTACTTAGTAGTGCTTGTTGTTGTGATTGTATTGTAGCAATGAGATCATCGTCATCCTCTTGCGAGGATGAAGATGGGTGTTGGGGTGAGGATGAAAAGGGGTGTGAGGATTCATATCTCAGGATTGCTATGGTGAAAGATAAGTGTGCATGCCATGTATTTATATATCTGATATGATATCTTTCCCAAATCCCAAAAGCAATTGCTTTCAACCGTAGGATTATATCACAACCATCTTAGCCATTAATTGGTATTCATATACTTCCAACACACAATCCAAGATCTGACATGATATCTTTCCCAAATCCCAAAAGCAATTGTTTTCAACCGTAGGATTATATCACAACCATCTTAGCCCTTAATTGGTATTCATATACTTCCAACACACAATCCAAGATCTGACATGATATCTTTCCCAAATCCCAAAAGCAATTGTTTTCAACCGTAGGATTATATCACAACCATCTTAGCCCTTAATTGGTATTCATATACTTCCAACACACAATCCAAGATCTGACATGATATCTTTCCCAAATCCCAAAAGCAATTGTTTTCAACTGTAGGATTATATCACAACCATCTTAACCCTTAATTGGTATTCATATACTTCCAACACACAATCCAAGACCTGACATGATATCTTTCCCAAATCCCAAAAGCAATTGCATTCAATCGTAGGATTAAATCACAACCATCTTAACCATTAATTGATTTTTGCTTTCACTCTATATAATAGTACACCACCAAATCAGAAACCACAACTCTTTGAATTCTCTATTCATATAACTCTTGGCTCTTTGAATTCTCTATTCTATATTTCTCTCCATCCTCTTTTAAAAAATGTCCAAGGCACCCACATTTCGAACTAGTTCATACTCTATTGAAGAAGATAAACTCCTTTGTCATGTGTATGTTAATATTTGCCAAGATAAAGCTACGGGTCATCATCAAGCTGGGGACGTACTTTGGACTCGTATTATGAATGCTTATCATGAAGCGCTACCAGCAAATGTTGGAAACACTCGATCATTGAGGTCAATTACGTCCCGGATGCAAACTATAATGAAAGCTGTCGCCAAATTCAGAGGATGTATTGTACAGGTTGAGAACTTGAATCCGAGTGGAGCTTCAGAAAAAGACATTGTGAGTATTTTGTGTTTATATATAAATTGTGAATACTTTGAACGTTTGTGTTATTTACTTACTTTAATTGTGTTTTATAACAGATTAATAGGGCAAAAGCACTAATGGAACAAGATGTCAAATTTAAAAATGGTTTTAAATTTGATCATGTATGGCCTATTGTTAAAGACTTGGAGAAATTTCAAAGTCCTTCGGGTAGAGAACCAAGTGTTGCAAGTCGAAAGCGAAGTTCTGACATTGAAGGTGCAGAGTCACAAGACGATAAGTCAATAGGTTCATCATCGTTTTGCCTTAACTTAGACGATGATTTCGAAAGTCAGGGCTTGAACAATGAACGTCCTACCGGGTGTAACAAGGAAAAAAAGAAGAAGCAAGCATTTGAAGAATGTCATGATTATTTTGCCAAAGTCACAGAACATAATGAAAAGATCGCCCAAATGTTCGAACAAAGTCAAACTCAACTCCAAAAAAATTATGAGCTTCAAATGATAAAAGCTCAAAATGAAACGATAAAATTTCAAAATGAAGCAAAGCAACTACAGTTGGCGGAACAACAGGAAGATAACAGAATCATGAGCATAGATGTTGATTCCATCACAGATCCAATAAGGCGTGATTGGCTTAAAAATACACAATTACAAATTCATGCAAAGAGAGCTCGTCAACCACTTGGAGGAGAAGAATCAAGCAGTCGGTTTACTCAATATTTTAATCATTTGGGAGGAAATGATGCTGGCCTAGGAGATTATTGAATTAAGTATGTTTAAAGTAGTTTTAATTAAGTTTTATGTGTTTGTTTTAAATTAAGTATGTTTAAAGTAGTTTTAATTAAGTTTTATGTGTTAGCTTTAAATTAAGTATGTAATTTCCTTTAATTTTGTTATAATTAAGCTTTATGTGTTTTCATTTTTAATTAATCTATGTTCAATATTAGACTTATTTTAATCGTCTTGATGAGATCTTTCAAATGATATAATTCATTTTAAATAATATAAAATTTATAGTTAACAATTTAACAAAATATACAAATATATTAAAATAAAAAACAAAACACAAAAGGAATTAAACAAAAAAGAGGGGTCAAAATGAAAAAAAATAAAATTATAGCGATTTGGCGCAGCACTGTTCACAGTGCGCAAAAAATTTGGTGAAATAGCGCTCCGTTGGAGCTGAATTGCGCCATTTTTTTTTTTTTTTTTTTTTTTTTTTTTTGTGTTTTGGTGAAATAGCGCCCCCTTGGAGATGGTCTGATCGGAACAGAATTGGTGCAGCTGGAAATTCTGGAATTGTTGCAGCAGTGCTGCAATTTAATTGAGCCACTGGAAGCTAGAGTAAATGGATTTTGTCTTTGTTAATTTGATTTTCCCTTGTTTTGCATAGTTGAGTAGTTAATTGCATGATGGAAATTGTTTGGTAATTGTTGAAGTAACAGCAGAGATAAGTAGGTCTATCCTTGTAACACCCCAGATTTTCAAGACATTTAAAACTTAATAATAAAGGTAACATCTCATTAAATCCCAAAGCGTAACATAAGTGTACGGGGTGCTATGCCACACCTGGGCTGGAGAACCCAGGTGCACAGGCTGTCTAACTACTATCTTCCGAAATATAAATGCATAACATGGCACGCAGGCCGAAAGGGAAACTATACTACTTCTACGCTCCAGTTCTAGCGCGCTCCAGTGCTCTAATCCTCTGTGCCTGAAAGCCAAATATATCTGTTCAGCGAGAGATGCTGGTAACCCACTCCAACGCGTTGAAATACAATACATATAGCAATATATATATAGATATACGAAAACCATTTTGAGCATGAGAATATATCCTACGAACTCTAGCTTTAAAACCGGGAATGACTCGACAGATAAGGCCAGACACAAGCAACAGTTATAACGAGCATATGCAGTTCACAACAGATAAGGCAGATAAGGCAGAGCATAAACAATGATCATAACCCAACATGAACAATCCCCAACATAAATCCCATAGTCACATCCCCCAAGACACTCATGATCACCACTCATCCATATCACAACACATAGCACACTTTGTTGGCGCCACAGGACCAATCGCATGCCCATACATGAGGGTCAGCGCATATAGCTCTGACACGGCCCCGCAGCACCCTGCCCCGTATCGCAACACGGAGGGGTCGATCGCAACCGACCGATGAACCGCAGCTCATAAGAATGTGTAATCTGACTATAGCCAGGAATTCCCATCTGACTACAGCCAGCCTCCGAACCGCAGCTCGGGAAAATGTCATCTGATTGCAGCCAGGAATTCCCATCTGACTACAACCAGCTTCTGGACCGCAGCCCAGGATACCGTCATCCGACTGTAGCCAGGAATTCCCATCTGACTGTAGCCGGCTTCTGAATCGCAGCTCAGGAATAACCAATCCGATCGCAACCGAATTGGGGCAACACGCACACATAACACATAGCAAGCACATACAACCCACATTACACGTTGGGAAGGGGAATAAACGTATAAATAAACCTATGCGTGAACCATCACCAACTAAGAATAGTCCTAAGGGGTTCATACTTCTTCCACCTAGGTCAACGGGATACCAATTCAACTAGCATGCAATATAATCGACTCATAAACCTACGAACGGTACCCGAAATACCAAACTAGACATAGGCACGACAAACGGGGTCCGTTGGGACACCACGGGGATCGGGGAAACATCAAACGGGGAAGTCGGGGTCCCGAGGGGGGGAAGATTCCAGCGGGTAGCCGGTGGGTGGGGGTCCACCCGCCGGCTGCCCGCCGGTAACACTGTTCCGGGCAGCGGGTGCCCGGCGGGCAGCTGCCCGCCCGCCGGCTGCCCGCTGCCGGAACTGCCCGAAGTTGCCACGGGTAGGTGGCGGGTCCCCTACCCCCACCTACCCCCCACTGACTCTTTTCATCACTTTTCGCCCCGGGAACCGTTGTGGAACCCGAAACCATGCTTAGACACTTCACAACGCAATTAACGACAACACGTAGACAATTAACGGATCAAATACGAGAAACGAACGGCACCTAACCTATCATGCTTTTCTAAACATAATCAACGCCCAAACATGCGATTTCCCCACCCGATAATCCAAGAATAATATCATACGATACAACCTAGGGTTCTAATCACTTTTATATCAACAAGAATACGATTCGTCTTCTAATTGCAAGATTCGGTAAGAATAACACATAGGCATCAGGAACATCACACAATTATCAAGAACAACACATAATCATCAGGAACTTCATCATTATCAAGAAACTCCCAATTATCAAGATTATCAAGATTCCCCATGGAATCATCAAATCAACATCAATAATAACCACCATAATCTCGCCATTTACAACAATATGGGGGGAAACCCTAAGGGGAAATCATAGCTATGAAAATAGGTTTTGTTGAGACATGGGTTACCTCTTAGCCTTAATTAATTCCTTGGCTATGAAGGATCTTTCTTTAAGCTTCCTTGCTTTCTTGATTTCTTCTAAGGGAATTCCTGGAGCTCTCCTGGGGTGATGGGGCGTCTAGGCGTGTGGGGGGTTCTGGGTGTCTCCTAAGTTCCCTATTTATATATTTAAGACTCCTAATTAGGGCCTGGATGGTATGGGTTTACCAATTCTATTCCTTATAGGACTCAGGGACTTGCTTTAGGGATAAGGGTCCATATTAATTAAAGCGGATCCTAATCACAATCTGAATAGTAAAAGGCCTACTTCTTTTATTCCTAATAGATAACTAGGTCTAGGATTCCTAATTAGGATCTGAATAGTAAAAGGTTTACTATCTTTATTCCTAATAGGCTTAAGCCTCTAATTTAGGCAAGGG